GAGTCTGAGGAACAACTACAAAGAGGAATCAAAATTCACAATAAATCTTACTTACATTAGAAGCAGGAAGTCTGCTGGGTCCTCTAGTGATCAAAGTATAAAGGAGCACTGAGAGAAGATAAGGGCATTGCAGAGAAGCTAAAAGAACTCTGCATCAGTGTTCAGAGACAGATATTTTAGACGTTTCTATATGGAACTCTTTTCCATCTCTAGCTCAGCCTTGAGGACATACAACTCCGTAGGGGGCATAACAAAGAGCTACAGCATCCTGAATGTCCAAGCGAGGTACACAGGATTTGCTTTGTTCACTGTGTTTTCCAATAGAAGACAACATCAAATGGAACTAGTAGAGGCGAGGTTCAAAGCAAGTAAAAGGAGATGGTTCTTCACACAACCATGGGATGTTGTGGGTGCTAAATGTTTACAAAGATTCTATGAGAATTAGACAGATTAAGAAGAAATGCATTAAGGAATTTAAAATATTTGGACGTAGCACTCAGTCCAGGAAGTTTCTTGAGCTGAAAATAGCTGAAGGCCAATTTATCCTGTCTTACTCTTCCCCAGGCTACTTCATAAAGTCATCATTGGAGACAAACATTGTTTGACCAAATACAAACATTTTTTATGGTTTTAGTAGATACTGTTAATTCCTTTTTGCTTCTATCCTACATGCTATCTTCGTATTTTGTATCGCTACAAAAATGGGCAGGATTGCTAATCTCCTTTATTGCCGTCTCATTTTAGCTCTGGGAATTGTAATTCCTATTTTAGCTAACAGCATCACAACTTATATAAAGAATGCACGGTCCAATCCTGTAAGAGGAGGAGTTCATTTCTGTGAAACCAGCAGGAGTTGAGAACACTGAGTATTTTAAAGGATCCTGTACATGAATGGGATTTAAGCATCCATTAAGAGCAGCAAAGAAGTGCTTTTTCGAGTCTGGGCTCTAAAAAAACTACTTGAGCTATGCAAGCACTTTTACACATCATTTTGTTGTTAACATACTCCTGCTCAGTTTCATCCTGCTTTATTCTGATCTGTGGGGTTTTTTGAAGTTTAAGACCTGTTTCCAAACAACTGCAGAGTAACCGAACTGTAAAGTATCAAATGAGCCTTTCTCTTGGAAGATAATCATCATGGCCTAAAGGTTAGGTCAAGAAAGAAATTACTCTTAAAAAGAATGTTCCTTTCCCCACAGAAACCAAAGGCTGGTTAGTTTGATACCATACGTAATTTCCATAAAAAAACGTGTGTTGTCTCCTGTTTCAAGATGGGCCTGAACCACACCCTGGGGGCTGAATTTCTCTAGATGTCTGACATATGGGATCTAGGCTCAGTGCTGTAGTTTGAGACTGTTTTCATGTAACAATTTTATTCTCTATGTGCTAAAACCCTACATTTATTGCTGAGCACTGCTGCTGATAGACGATAAAAAAGAACAATAAACAAAACTTACAGATGGCAAATGATTACTGAGAATCACTCAGATAATGTAGTGCTTTAAACTAAATTACATTTATTTCTGTTTCAAAAAAACTTGTTCTTGCAAAAGGATCTAGAATACACAATTTGAAGGAGGAAAGTCAAACCCCAAACTAGGCTAAAAGAGGTGACTACAGAACAGCAGAAAAAAAGGGTTTGGGCCAATTTACAGCCACTTCCATTGCAGCTCTTAAAATACTGGAGTGAATTTTCGACTTAGCACACTGCAAGCAGTTGACTTGGAAAGTCCTATTGGAAAGTGAAAGCCTATTCTTCATAGAGCTCTTTGTAGTACTGAAAGAATACATGAACTACTGATCTTTAGAAAACGTATGTATGTGCCTTATTCCTGGCCTGAAAATATATCAAAAGAAGAACAGGAGATTCTGGGAAACTGTCTGCAAACTACTTTTTCTCCAAAGCCAGTTTTAAATGTCAGGGCTTTTTTTAGGTCTACTGATTGTACCACAGCACTTAAACAACAACAAAGCATGATGATGGTTCTTTACATTTTCTCCAAAATTATTAAAGTGGTGCTTCTGAAAGTAAACATAAAAAAAATTCTCCATCAGAATATATGTGTTGAGCAATGAGAATCCAACAAATAGATAATAATCTCCAGACAACAGGAATAACAAAACTTGAAGATAATGATCTGAATTTTAAACAATCACTTTTGCGCAACTCTGACTTTATGTTGAACTTTAGCTCGATGTCAGTATGAACTGTACCATCAGTGGTTCCACTTTGGCCTGTTACACCGCAATTATCTTTAAAGACTTTCTCAAAATGCAGAAAAACTGCATTTGAAAAAGGCCAATGGCATAACTAATAACTTCCTCCTTAGTTCAATGCATTTTGTCTATTGTGAATGTCACACATTTAGGAAGCTCTAGTCTGAAATCTATTTTTTATTTATAAAGAAGTTGTCTGAGTCTTGAACAAATCCAAATATGGTCACCAGGTAATTTTTGACACATGTTGAGATTTCTACATTGTCCCGGAATGTAAGAAGAAATGCATGACTGCACTGCCTAATTAAAACTTGAATCCAAAAACTTGTTAAAAACAACTCAGTTTAAAAAAAAAATCTTCTTTGCCAACATGTGTATTGAATCCTGCATTTTAAAGATGGCTTAGGGAGACATTTTTGTGTTTTAGAAGGTGTTTATTACTGTTACTGTTATTATTGTTGCTGTTGTTACTATTAACATCATATTCATGCACACAAGCATATTGCTGACTTGGGTCCACTTATTTCACCATACAAGAAAACCAGATTTTCATTATCTCATTGATTATCAGGAGCCCATTATCATCTAATGGGCCTATCTTCAGTGAATCAGTGTTTCCATTCTTCACCCTCAATGAAAGACCGTAACTGCTGACTGCAAGAAGCTCCTGTAAGAGCACACAGTACAGTAATGTGAAAACACACTGTTTTAACCAGTCTTCACATCGTATGCTCCAATGTTTGTTCAGTCACAAACATCTCTTCTAAGACGATAGCAACTGAAGCAATGAGATCTCTAAGAAATTAGAATCATATACAACATGGAAAAATCTTCCTTCTTTTTCACTGCAGGTGATATTTGTTTATGCCAAGTAATATTTGTGTTAAACAGTAACTGTGTGACAGACAACTACTGACTGCATGTCTGTGAGGGGTGATCTCACCTCTGCTGTCTAACCTCAAAAGCATCTGGGGGACAGTCAACCTGCAATGTGCTATGAGCACCAACCTAATAAGGTTGGTTATATATAGCCCTTCATACCAAAGAGCTTCCAAAAAATTTCAAAAGGTGAATATTATTACATACTGCTAGTCTAAGAATTTTAAACACTCTCAAAGATATTAAACAGTTTCTTCCCCTAAACCTTTCTTCCTCTTCATCTGAGAAGCCTCCCCTACAGTCACTAAACCACATTATATATTTAGACACCTAGCTGCCTCTGGCTTAGCCATCTCTAAGAAGGGTTGCAAGAGCAATCCAGGAAATTACAGGCCTGTCAGCTTGACTTCAGTACGCGGGAAGCTGATGGAGCAGCTCATCCTAAACACCATCATGCAACACAAGAGGGACAACCAGATGCTCAGGCCCAGTCAGCATGGGTTTATGAAAGGCAGGTCCTGCCTGACAAACCTGATCTCCTTCTACAACAGGGCGACCTGCTTATTGGATGAGGGAAAGGCTGTGGGTGTTGTTTACCTTGACTTTAGCAAGGCCTTTGACACTGTTTCCCACAGCATTCTCCTGGCAAAAATGACTGCTCGAGGTTTGGACAATCGCACACTTCGCTGGGTAAAAAACTGTCTGGATGACTGGGCCCAGAGAGTTGTGGTAAACGGAGTGAAATCCAGTTGGCAGCTGGTCATGAGTGGTGTCCCCCAGGGCTCGGTTTTGGGGCCACTCCTGTTTAACGTCTTTATTGATGATCTGGATGAGGGGATCGAGTTTCAGTAAGTCCAAATGCCAGGGGCTGCCCTTGGGCCACAACAACCCCCAGCAGCGCTACAGGCTTGGGGAGGAGTGGCTGGAGAGCTGCCAGTCAGAGAGGGAACTGGGGTGCTGATCGACAGCCGGCTGAACAGGAGCCAGCAGTGTGCCCAGGGGGCCAAGAAGGCCAATGGCATCCTGGCTTGTGTCAGCAATAGCGTGGCCAGCAGGGACAGGGAAGGGATCTTACCCCCCGCACTCGGCACTGGTGAGGCCGCACCTCGATTCCTGTGTTCAGTTTTGGGCCCCTCACTACAAAAAGGACATTGAATGACTCGAGCGTGTCCAGAGAAGGGCAATGGAGCTGGTGCAGGGTCTGGGGCTGAGGGAACTGTGGGTGTTTAGTCTGGAGAAGAGGAGGCTGAGGGGAGACCTCATCGCCCTCTACAGCTACCTGAAAGGAGGGTACAGAGAGCTGGGGATGAGTCTCTTTAGCCTAGTAGAAAGCGACAGGACAAGAGGGAATGGCTGGAAATTGCACCAGGGAAGGTTTAGACTAGATATTAGAAAGTATTTCTTTACAGAATGGGTCGTTGGGCGTTGGAATGGGCTGCCCAGGGAGGTGGTGGAGTCCCCATCCCTGGAGGTGTTCAAGAGTCGGGTCGATTTAGAGCTTAAGGATATGCTGTAGGTGGGAACTGTGCTAGGCGAACGGTTGGACTAGATAATCTCCAGGGTCCTTTCCAACCTAGATGAATCTGTGTGATCTCCAGTAGGCCATTATTAACTACTGACTTCAAAATTACTAGCAGAAATGCTTGTTGGGTTGGTCTTTTTTTAATATAAACCTGCCTTACTTGTTTTCCCTTTCCCTCTGGCAAATCAGCACTTCTATCCTTATTGTTCATGATGGCTGCAAAAAACACTTTACTAAAATCTGCTTTTAGCCATGTAGCCTCCAGCCAGCCAAATCAATCCTCTTCCTCCTCTCTCCCCAGTATATTGTCTTTTCTTACAACCCAGTGTTTGGCATTTTCATTATCTTTTGTTACTATAAACACCTGGAAAGTAAGCCTTACCTGGCAATGAAAAGGGAGATAGATTGTCCTGTTCATTTTCCTCCTCTTGGTTCACCACAGGTATGTTCCCATTTTCAATATTCTCATGTCTCCCATTCTGAAGTGGTTTGCTTGAGCCATTACCAGATTGGATTAACCGCTGACGCTGCACAGTGTCAAAGACAAAACTGCCACAGTTTGGAAAATACTGACTTTGTTAAATCTGGGTTTTGCTGTCTGTCCAGCCCCAGTCATGTGAGCTATGCTGTTTCTCCACAAGGCATTTCTCCCAGTCAGCAACAAACAAATCTGTCTGTGGCCTACCTGTCTTCATCAGGCCAGTGTTGATCATCCACCTCAAAATTACAGACAGGAGTCTTTCAAGCCATGATGGATAAAGTGGTCGTATCTGTTCTTCTGAATCATGTTTTAATAAGCATGGTTATTCTGAAGCACTTCTCACCCAACAGTTTCCACTCAAACCAGCCATAGCACCACAATCTAGTGGTAACACTCAAGAAATTTCTGCACTATCAGAGTTTGCATATGAATGACTCATTAACCAATATCTCTCCTAGTCTGGTCCAACTCTCCTTCCTGCTTTTCATCCCCATTCCTTGAGGTCCATGTAAAGTTCCTACTTATAATTTCAAAAGCGATACTAATCCCTGTTGCCCTTGTCCAATTATATACTTCCACAAAGCTCATAACTGGCCCTGCAGCCTTGTGTAAGACTGCTACAGTTCCAATACATAGTACAACAATTACAGGAATGGATTTTAAACATCAGTATATATACCCATTAATACACTGGAGAATATGAGATGTAGCAGTAATTTTGTACTTTTATAAAAAAATAAATATTTTCAGTTCATTAGATGAGGTAACACAGGGTTGATAAGTTTTCTCTCTTTCATGACAAATTGTTGCAACTTCCTAAAAATTGCTCTGAAATGCCTTGCAAAAATAAAATAACTGTACAGTATGCAAAAACATTATGAAACTAGTATTAACACACCACAGTTAAAAATAGAGAAAAATCATATCTGAATACTTTGCAAAACTTTGGTAGTGAGAATACATAAGAACATAGATCCAAAATTCTTTGTTTTAGATAATGCTTTTTTGCAGATGTTGAACTAGCAAGTATCTGTGCACATATCCATTTAGAAAGAATTTTATTCTGATCAACAAATTGCCTCCAAAGCAGAACTTCTACAGTCAACTGCTGCTGTGTGCCCTATCTGCTCTTCTGCTCTTGACTGTATGCCACCAAATTGACTTGCTAATAAACATTTCCCTATTTTACCATTAAATTGTACTTTTTTTACAAATGTGTTATTGCTGCTTTGTTTTATTTATCACAGTGCTGGGTAGACACATGAACTGTGTTATGATGTTCAAATTCTAGGAACTTGCTAAAGCTTGTATTTCCTAAACTACTGAAATAATTTATTTCCCAGAATAAAAACTTCTATTACTTGACATTGAAGGGAGCAAAGAATAAAGTCCTGCCTTCACAGAAGCCAGGGTTGGCAGGCCCAAGATTTCATCCCAAGTACTTCACACAAGCACAGAACACTGTCACTTGGCCTGTCTTATCACTTCAGCTGCAGGGTATGAAACGAGTAATACAAGGTGGTGACAAAGTAACAGTTAACTGAAACTGTCCAGGACAAATTCCCCTTGTGAAAATATTTCGGTTCATTTTTATTTTGAGCTGAGGACTACACTGAAGACTAAAGAGGGCAAACATCTGATGTGATCCTGATGTGCTGCTAATATAAAAACCAGTTCTAACAGATCTTTTGTTGCCCTGTCTATTATCCTTCCTTAGCCTGACAAGTTTTGCAGTGATCAAAACCAATTCTGCTGTACATAAAATCCAAGTGTGCACATGTACACACACTGAAATGAACATCTTCAGGCAGGGAGATGAGGGAGTCCTGCCTTGATGACTGCCCTCCCATTAAGACAGGCAGCATGACCAACTGGGAATCCATCTTCAAATCTGCTGTGACATAGCTGCTAGAGAAAGACATAGTTCTAGCCCATCCCTAGCACCCTGGGACAATCCAAACTTCAGATCACTATGAGCACGGCTCTTTGGCAATGCCTCTACCTCACAGTCATTTATTGTTTTCTTAATGTACCTACCTCATTAATGATGAGTCGGCTTGCCATCCGCATTCTGGTGCGTGGTCCAAACTTATTTGTAATCATAATTCGTAATCCAGCTTCAGGGAACCGGTATTTAGGGGGGCTGGAGCAGATGATCTCATCCACCATCACAACACTGTTTTTGCCATACTGCTGCATCCCCTTCACTAGTGATCACAATGGACAGAGTTAGTTTCAGAACTGATTTTACCATCCTTCCTATCACCCAGTCATTCTTTTCAGGCTCAGGTCGGTATAATATTCATCTGAATGCTTGAATTTACAAATGACTTTCCTGTAATAGTTCTGCAGCCTGGTTAATCTGCTCATCAGCTGTGCACTTCATTTATATCACATGCTGAAAAGGGATTTTACTCTGCTAAGGTAGCCACCAATCCTCTCTCAGATGAGTGGGAGCAGTTTTTACCAAGCCGTTTATGCTATAGTACCAGTTTTCTTATGTCCCACTATGGTTTTGTAAGCCTTCACTGTGGCAGTGTAGACAGTGCTCCTGAAACCTTTAAAGTTATCCCATTGGATCAATGTGCTGCACATCCACAAGTCCCTACAGTTCTGCTCACTCCTTTCGGAAATCTTCACTTTACTCTTACAGAATATTATCAATATCTCTAACATGACAAGATTTGGAACAATGAAAAACAATTGTCAAGAACAAATGTATGTTATAAGTAAGCTTTTGTTAAAATAAAGGAACTTGTATCAAGGTTAAGAGTTTTGTTCTAACACGTTAAGAACACAGAGAGACAAAATTATAAGAACACAAGTACAGGCAAGGACTTTCAGAGCTCAACAACAAACCAATATTCTTATAAATGCTACAGACTACACATAGCAAGCAGAGCAAGGCTCAGCAGACAGGAGACATACCCATGTGGTGTTAGAAAGCAGAGCAGGAAATATGCATATGACTAATAAATATTAATTCTTACATGTAATAATATGTATGGAGGGGAAGAAAATCACCAAAAAAATCTTTGCTGTTTGTTTTCTGCTTTGCTTAGTTTGGCTTCACCCTCCCACTCCCCTTTTGCATGAAATTACTTACTTTAAGAAGAGGAAGATAATTTATGAGGTAGAAGTGAAAGATAAATTATTAGTGCATGGTTCCAGTCAGGAAGCAAAGAAAATCTAAGAAAACATTCAACTCAAACAAAGGAATTAAAATGGACCTGTTCTAAATACACAGAAATCTATATTGGGTGTTCTCTGCATTATTAGAGCATTGAAATATTTTTGTTTTTCAGGAAGAAGACTGGATCCATGCATGCACTTAAATCACATCATGCAATAACGGCTTTGCTGTCTCAAGCATCTTCTAACATATTTGAATTTGAAGAAATACATCTTTCCATTATCATTCAACAAGAAAAATCTAGCAAGCCTGTAAATCACCAGTAAATAGCTATATCTTTTACCCTTTAGCATTTGAGTATCTTGCTTTGTTTCACTAAAATGAGTTTTCAATGAGTACACTGGGGTCACCTGAAGTGTCATAAAGAGACTTTTGGTTTCACAAATAAATATGCCCAACTGAAAGAATCCACTCTGTAGTCATGTCTTACAGCTTAATATTGCTAATGGAGAATAGAACCAGAGGAAATTTTGCATTTGGTAAACATAAAGGAGCAATTATCGTCCCACTGCCCAGACATCTAAAACAAATTAACCTTGCTGAGTACTGCGGCTGATGATGCAAATAAGGAGCACATCTATTCCAATAACTCTTACAATTAGAGTGTAGCAGCTTTTCTGTGAAGGAATATATAGCCAGGCAAGCTCCCTAGGAACCAATCCCCACAGACGAGGTTACCTAGGAACCAGTCCTCAACAGAAGAGGACTCAACCACAGTAGCTTAACTTTTACTTCAGTTAGACAAAAATAAATGTTTGACAGTAATCCTGGTAAGGTAAAAAGGCCACATATCTTTTTAACAGTCTCATCAGATTAACTGCTCTCATGTGAGTTTCTCCAGTGAAGTCTCCAAAATGCCTCTTTATTTTACCGTGTCATGAAAAACATGGAAGCACTGCAGTTACGCTGGAACTGTTTCTTAGAGCACTAAGGAGACAGAGACCAAACACACTCAGCTTTGATGAAATACCGTGATAAAAAACCTCAGCACTGATGTAGAATACATCACTCCATATACTGCAGCTATTTTGACTTATTGCATCACATTGTTTTTATATTTTATAACAGCTCTTCAGTCTCACTCCCTATGCCCAGAAACATACACACCTTGGCCCCACATGGTACAAACAGGTTCCACCTAAGAATTGTAAAATTGATTTTCACTAATGTGAGACAGAGAAAATCCTTTTTCACTTCTCCTTTGTGATATTCCTTAGAAAAATATCTTCTGAGAACAGCTTTTCCTTTTAAAAAACTACCTAAACTTCCTTCTCACCACAAAGGGTCATCACCAACAACCCTGTCACAATCAACAGAAAGCTTCTTGCTGACTTTAGCTGACTCCTGATCAGGCCCTCAGAAACCCACTTTTTTCCAAATATCTGGTTTTAGGCAGGAATTGAACCATGCCACCTGGTGGAAATCTGGGTTGACATAATAAAAGCCAAGGGCAGTGAGCCACATGTTTGTACTTTTAAAACAGAAGCATTATTCACAAAATACAAATATTTCACCTTTACCCATGTGTGTATAACATGCCCTTGAAACTGAATTTATCTTATGGTGAGAAGCTGTCCTTTTTCTCTATGAAACGTGAGTAATGGAAGATTTCATATTGTACCATTGGAAGCTCTTGAAAGCAATAAAACTTACAGGTGTAAAAGAGAGCTGTGCAGCATGTGAAGCCCCCTTCTATACGCACCTCGAGCAACCAACTAACTATCCTTGGTAGGAAGAAAGTTCCTCACCCAAAGCAACTATTCTTTTTTTTGGGAAGTAATCAGACTTTCCTCCAGTGGAAAATGAAATTAAGTTTAGACCTACACCTTGGTGAAGCCAAGGGAGGTTTTTCAGTGGATTCTGAAACTTGCTAACCTCTGGCTGGAGGTAAGGCAGAGGCCAACTCTAGTTCTCTACCTGCTACTATCTGCTCCTGTTTCTGAAAGCTGCTGCTGGGGAAGGTGCATCTCAGCTTGTGAAGCCAGCCAAGTGTCAACAGCGAGTCACTGACAGGTCACGGCATATTTTGACTCAACATGAGGGAGATGCAACAGGCAGCCAGGTGATGGCTTTCTAGGACAGCTTCTTGACACATGAAGCACCCATCTACAAAGCAGCTAGGCTAACACTACTTTCCTTCTCTCCCACTGCTCACTCCAAACCCTCCTTAATCTCTTCTTGGTGTCCTCTCTCTTGCTAGGTAGGTTTGCCTGTGGTATCTACTACACTATCACGCTTTGAACAATGGTCCCTCCAACGCAGCATTTGTTTGTGTAATGGATGCTGGAGAAGGCAAAGGGAATCTGACTGAAACTGCATTCTCAGTACATCTTTGAGGGAAACTGGAGAAGAACCTGCTGTGGACAGTTGCTAGTGGAGACACCATCCTCATGAGTTCAGGTTTTTATTAGCTTTCTTGCTCCTTTTCCTAAAGGTCCTGCATGTTCTTCAAAAGCATCAAATAGTCTTCACATTTCCTGAAAAGGAAATAGGTGGACAGGCAAGCACTCTGTGCTATCATCTCTTTACCACACAGTGCCTACAGAGGAGAGCATGTGGGGAGATGACATCAAAACCCAACAAATGCCTCAGAAGTAAAAACCACTAATATCTGTTTCTTTCACCGGATCACCCTTTTCCTGTGGCCCCACTTGAATACATCAGTAACAACTGCCCTAGAGGGTATACTCTGAACTTTTATGTATGTAGCTCCCCATACAAGTGACAGACTTCACTATACCATAGCAAATATTCACAAAAATTCATTGTCAAATGATATCGAAGTATTTCAAAGGCATCTTCCATCTTCATTTGATTATGCTACAAAGTCCTATGGAAGTAATTTTAAATCTCTGTTAAACTATTGTCTAAACACCGTATCTGAGATCAGAGTAACAGTGTCACTGCATAAACCTGTCGTAAATGACAGTACCTACCTTGAAGATATCCCAGCCTAACCACTAAAAGCAGAAAAGAGCTAAATTCTCCAAGGCTGCTCTAAATTCCCGTTTGCCACTATTTGTTATTACATGAGGACCTTTCCAAATGCTACCTATATTGCTGCTGAGCTCAGTCTTCTAGAATGAGAGATATTTGCACAGAACAAAGCAAGGAGACCTCACTTGTTAAGAGTAGCCCAAGAGCTCATCAAATTATATGGTTTGTGCTTTGAAGGTAGGAATGATTTTGCTCTACAGAGAATGGAGTGGAAGAGAAGAGGGATAAGACAATGATAAAAACAGGCTTACAAAAAAGCCCCAAATACCCAGGTATGTTTGCTTACCTTCAGTACCAGAAGCTGGGTATCATCTTCTTCCCCTTTATGACAAAGACACAGAAAGCAAAGAACCTGCATTTCTCAATTTTACATATGTGGTTGGCAATGTACGCAGAGCTATTTAGGTGTGTGAAAGCCAGTCTTCTGAGGATCTGAACTAAACACATAATCCCTTTTTCCCACTAATCTGCCACTGTCCTTTCCTTCAACACCCAAGTCTCAGCTTCTAGCTCCAAACTAATTTTTGGAATGTAAATTACCTTCTTTCTGGAAAAAAAAAAATAAAAAATTCACAATGTTGTAGCTCATCACTGAAGAGGAGATAAAAAGGGAGAAAAATTGCCAATGTGCAAAGCAGCTTGTTTTCAGAATATCAAACAAATTTTTGATTGGGGTTTTTTCATCTGGCAGTCTGACTGATGAATTGTCAAGTTAACTCAATAAAAATTCCTGCTTATGATTGAATAGCAACACTCTTTTGATCCACATTTAAGAAATAAAATGTATATCCTGTGAACTACTCTTTTTCCAAGTCCTGTCTGCTCAGCCTTACCTTTCCATAGTAATGGAATGGATGGGTCATCACAACTAGAGGCATAACATTTATTACCATCTTCCAGCTCATTGTTGACTGTGTCACCATTTCCAACATTCTTGCTTTTAAGGCTGAAGAAATTTTGCATCCTCGTATTGTATCTGAAAATGCAAAGGAAAGATTTGAAAAGGTTGGACTGTTGCATTTCCTCATCAAACTTTTAAGTGCCTAACTTATGCAGGTAAGCAGTAAAGCCTAGATGCATTTTCTCTGACATGAGGAAGATAAAAGAAAGGACTATCCAATTCAGTGGCCAGCTGATAAGAAAGCAAGGGCTGCACCTATCTCTCATGCAATATGGCAAACTGCAAAAAGACACTAGAGCAGATTTAGTGAAAGCAATACACTGAAGCTGTGGATTTTGGAGCAGGAAACAACAGCTTCTTTCCTCCTGCATCAGCTCACAATTCACTTCACTGTTTCTCTCAGTACTGTGTTCCCTATGGCAAGTGCCTGAGCACTTCTGGGACTGTTGACCATACCCCTCTAAAGAAAGAATACATCTGTTTTAGCACTAGGGTGGGATCTAAGATGGCTGGCTGTCAATGAACTCTGCTAAGACCTGATGTAGGAGAAAAGGGAAGATGAAGTTCCAAAAAGGGGTGATTTGTGAGGGAAGCGCACCAAAGGATAAGTCTAAGCAACTTGGGTAGAAGGGTGGACTTACAGAACCTTGCAGTAACAGTCAGACCTCTGACTCTTCTGTCAGAGGCAGTGACACTACAGAAGGATGTCATACAATCTGGTATGAGAGGGTCTGAAGATAAATACATGCTTAGCAGCCTGTCTAATGTTCCTTGATCTTGTTCTCCAGAAGTTACAAAGTATGTGTAATAGCTGACATGCTGTGTGCTTACAATCTAGAGTACCCAGTGGACTATTTACATATATCTCTGCATAAGTGACATTTTCTCTCAACTTTTTCTGAAAGCTACTGTACACTGCACTGTGACAAAAAATGCATGAAAATATTTGTGGTTGACTAAGCACAAATCTAGAGTGAAACTGATTAAGCATGAAAAAGCAAGGAATCTTACACAGAAACGTAACTGGGTGTATTGTCCTCAGCAGGAAGGCCAAGGACATAACCACACCAAAATAATGATGGCGAGTTAACACCTGAAGGGCATACAGAGGAGAAAAGCACTTACTTCATGATAAGTATGTAGAAGGAATACATGATGATGAGTACAAGGCTTTCCCACCTCAAAAAGACAGAAAGAAAAAGTGTTAAAAGGTCAAACAGCTGTATGCTTTGTAAGTTTTATGTAGGAGTGTGCATTAAACATCTAGTACAAGTCACATCTGTGTACACAGGGTTCATATCATTAAGATTAGATGGCGTCTCAGCAAAATGAAGGGAAAGCAGACTCTCAAGTTCCAATAAATATGCAAATATAAAAGTTCAGAAATGTGCTATGCAGACTGAAACCATAGCTACCTTCTGACGATCATAATGTCAAAGCCTTTTGTCATTTCAGTGCTGAAGCACAGGCCAAGCACTTTGAGAGGAGTCTTTTAGAAGTTGCTTATGACCTTCCACAAGGATCCCACCTCAGACTGTTCTGCAGGACACCTAGCATTCCCATAAATGTTAGCAGTCAGAATCAGAGCAGCAGAACTTTGGTTACCCTGTCTGCACATGTGAGTCTTCAGGCCTTACATATAGCCCATTTACTTTGTTAATATTTCCAGGTTCTTAAGTTTTCTTTTAGTTTTCCCTGATCATCAGAAAAAATATAACCAAAGAAAATACATAGGATTTCCTAGCTGTCAAATCCAGCTGATACTCCCAGCATGTATGAATGAAAGCTAATTACACCGCAACTCTATTTACTGATCAGTCTCATGGCAAATACAGGACTGCAGGGAATAATTCCCACAACTTACCATTCTATTTCCTCATCATATATGAACTAGAAGGAGGAAAGAAAAGAAAACACATAAATCGACCATTTCTCTGATCTGTCTTGAAAAACAGTAAAATTTATTTAATATATAATATCCTATATAATGTAATATAATAAATATCAGTCACATCTAACCAGAAGCTACTTGAGTTTTGTCCCTTTCTAACCAGAACTTTCACTGTATGGATTGTGCCCCTCACAAAAGCACAAACCTTGTGAACGAGGCTTGGATCCCTCTCAGTGACTGTTATAAACACTATTTAGTAAAGCAGTGTGAGCATGTGACGGACAGACAGATACGCACACATGTATATACAACACGCTGTGCTGTGTAAATGACAGCAGAGTCATGAATTCTGAGGAGGCCTAGCTCTGAGTCCTTTTAACAGCTAGACTAGGTTTAGCAGAAAAGGCAGCTGCTCTTAGGCCAAATGGTTATACACATTTTTCTTCATCCTATGTAACTCCTATAACTGAATGGGTAGTTAGTGATCCATATTTATTACAAAACAAACTAAGTGGATTCTTGCCACCAGATACAGTAAATGTGTATGTTCTAGAGCGCACACTTCTCTACATGAACATAGTGGTATCTCACCTATGCTCTACTTAGAAAAATTTACCCAGAATCTGTGAAACAAAATTACTGTGCAGAAGCAAGAAACAGCCATCTTCCCTATTTAAAATACAAGTGCAGCTCAAAATTTTTCATCTCCACAACAAGCAGCCCCCTAGATCAGAAAAGAATGCTAACTGCACTGTGTAACAGTAGCCTGCTAGCCTGCAGAACTTTACAGGCTGTAGGTAGAAAATGAATGGATATTGATGGACTTGATGGACACATTCTGTGGGACTGCATGAAGTTTTCATATTTGGACCATATTGTGGAGCTGAGTGCACACTTCCAGATGTCACTAGAACTAGCTATGAAAATAATTTTGTACCAGTGTATATCAAGGGTTAGCAGCCTGGCCCTCCAAAAATTCAAGCAATGAAACACATTTATTGGTAAGAGAACTACTTACAACAATAAGTATGATCACAGATATCGTGTAGTACAGAGAGTCCCGGAACACAGCCCACTGGGTGAGACAAACCACCTGAAAAATATTGCACCTTCAGCCAACAAAAACATGTGATTTTAAAGACAAAACAAAAGCCTCTATCTTGCAATCACTTAGGTTTGCGAGCAGAATTATTATTAGCATTGATCCTGTTACCAATCACAGTTTTATGCTAACAGGAAGACATATCAGTCTGTCAGACAATGGATCTATAATAACCACCAGTAATAAAAAAATCATACAGAAATTTCCATTAATGAAATACATTTCTTACTAATGATATTTGAATTGGTCAAAATTTCAATTGTAAAGTACAATTCATTGTATTGCAGCAAAGCAATGGTTCCCACTTCATTATGTTTATGGATGTATCCAACTTCATACTTCAAAAAATATGATACACAGCCTAACCATCTACCAAGTAGATGGAACAAATCTGGTACTTGTGTCCTAGATTCTTTGATCGCCATCAGTACGAGGAAGAATTAGCAGATGCCACTGATCAGCTGACTGTGAACACAGTATTGTAGGAAGAGGAACCGGAATCAGTTTCCTCTGTATGCTACATGTTCAGTGCTGAACTTTTTGGAAACATTTGCTATTTGTAAAGCATTTGTAAATTCTTTCCAACATCTGACATTTTTCACAATGCTAGCTCATTTTTTGGTTTTGGCTAATACTTTTTTTTTTTTTTTTTTTTTTTTTTTTTTACATTTGCTCACAGAAACCCCTAAATTGTAAGCAGTTAAACACCATAAGGTAAGTATCTCACTAACCTGTCCTGCGAACATTCCACAGACACCAATAATGCAGAGGATGTTGAAAACTGCTGAACCAACAATGGTCCCTACTCCTACATCTCCATGAGTGATAAATACACCTGCAGAGGGAGCAGAACGTGCATTATTACCTCTGTCATTTCATTTTAGGTCACAACAACTTAGAATATGTACTATCTGAGAATAAGAGGTTGTTTGAAAGTTTAACCAAAATATGTTTCAAAATAAATGTTCGTGTCTCTGTGGAATATTTTGTGCTTTTAGTCTAGCTAGCAGCTCCTCATTTTTGGCCTAACATCTCTACATATATATTTTTATAGAAAGTAAGTGATTTCTTAGCTAGCTAGTTCTCTAGTAAGTCCTGTTTTTCACAGCTTGGTTTTTAGTGGTGCAGTAATCCATTAAAATGAGTATAAAATATCTCATCACATCAGGAGCATGGAATTAATTTCAAACAGTATAATAAAGCACAGTAACCTTAATACTTAGTGTGTTCTTCCTTGCAATGTCTCAGGGGAGCAAGTGTTTCTTCCCTTAAAAAACTGGTAGCCACTTTTGGTGCAGTAATGTGTGCCTTCTGGCTCAAACAGAGAACCAGCATTCAGATTTAACCTGTTCTAGTACCGACTTTCAGATTTCCCTTAGTACTGAACCCCTCAGGTATCTATCTGTAACATAACTGTATCAGAATGACAAAAATTAATGGCTGGAGTGGACCTCCAGGGATTATCTAACGTAACCTTCAGCACTGAGACAGAACCAAAGATAACATGAATGCACTACAGAGCTGTATCTACTTGTACTGTAAAACTTCTGCTAAAGGGAGCCTTAAGGGCTTACACTTGCTGTTTTTTACTAAGTTGGACATGAGGTTATAGCGCATTCCTTTAGACTGTATTTCCCTAAAGTTTGTAAAAATGTCAGTATAGTAACAGAAAGCCTACTAAAGCTTTACTAAAGACAGATTCACCAAATTTAAGCCACCATGCTGCTAGAAACCTATGATGTAGTTGACATTACTGAAAATTGGTGGGACAAATCCCATGGTTGGAGTGTGGCTATCAATGTCTACAGGCTGCTCAGAAGGGACAGGTGAGGGAAGAGGGGCAGAAGAGTTGCCCTCTATATCAAGAAATGGATAGATTGTGAAGAGCTGTCTCTGAAGAATACCTACGAGCAGGTTGAAAGTTTATGAGTAAGAATTAGAGCTGAGGCAACAAAGGAAACCTTGTAGTCGGTGTCTACTACAGGCCGCCCCATCAAGGGGAACCTACTGATGAGGCTTCCTTACTCCAGCTATGGAAGGCACCATGCTCAAAGGTTCTAATCCCGCTGGGGGACTTCAACCATCCAACATCTGCTGGAGAAGTAGCATGGCAAGCTGTAGACAATTCAGGAGACTCCTGGAGCGCATTGAGGATAACTTCTTAAGCCAGGTAGCAGACAGCCGTACCAGAGAGAATGTGATACTGGACCTGTTGGTCACCAACACAAGTGAGCTAATTGGTGACATGAAGACTGGAGGCAGCTTGGGCTGCAGTGATCATGCACTGGTGGAGCTCGCAGTCCTGAGGGATACAGGTCAGGTGAAAAGTCAAGCCAGGACCCTGGATTTTAGGAAAGCACACTTCCAGCCATTCAAGCAGAGGGTCATTAGGGACCCTGGGAAACTGCCCTCAAGGATGGGAGCAGAACAAAGTTGGCAGATCTTTAAGGTTGCTTTCCATAAAGTGCAAGAGATCTTGATCCCCAGGTGTAGGAGATCAGGAATGGAAGGCAAGAGACGGGCATGGATGAGTCAAGACCTACTGGTCAAAATAAAGGTCAAGAAGGAAATGTACAGGCAGTGGAAGAAGGGACAGGTATCCTGGGAATAGTGTAGGGATGCTGCCTGGCTGGCAGGGATGGGGTCAGGCAGGCCAAGGCGTGGCTGTAGATGAACTTGGCAAGGGACACAAAGAACAATAAGGGCTTTTGCTGGTATGTCAGCCAGAAAAGGAAGGTCAAAGAAAGTGTACCCCTTCAGTGAGCAAGACTGGCAAACTAGTTAAAATGGACAAGGAGAAGACTGAGGTACTCAACAACATTTTTGCCTCAGTCTCCACAGGCAACCTCTCTTCCTATACCTCTCAAGTGGATAGATCGCAAGACAGGGACTGGGGGAGAAAAGTCCCTCCCACTGTAAGAGAAGATCAGGTTTGTGACCACCTGAGGAACCTGAACATACTAAGACTATGTGACCTGGTGAGATGCATCCCAGAGTCCTGAAGGAACTGGCTGATATAGTTTCCAAGCCACTGTCCATATTTGAAAAGTGATGGCAGTCAAGTGAAGTCCCTGGTGACTGGAAAAAGGGAAACATTGCACCCATTTTTAAAAAGGGCAGAAATGAGCACCCTTGGAACTACTGACCTGTCAGCCTCACCTCTGTGTCTGGGAAGATCATGGAACAGATCCTAGAAGCTATGCTAAGGCACATGGAGGACAGGGAAGTGATTTAAAACAGCCAGCATGGCTTCACCGTGGGCAAGTCTTGCCTGACCAACCTAGTGGCCTTCTGTGATGGAGAGACTACATCAGTAGACGAGGGAAGAGCTATGGATGTCATGTCTGGACTTCTGTAAGGCTTTTGACATGGCCCTCCACAACATCCCTCTCTCTAAACTGGAGAGATATAAATTTGATGGGTGGACTGTTCAGTGGATGAGGAATTGGTTAGATGGTTGCATCCAGAGGGTAGTAGTCAACAGCTCAATGTTCACATGGAGATTGGTGATGAGTGAAGTCCCTCAAGAGTCCATACTCGGACAATTACTGTTTAGTATTTTCATCAGCAACATAGACAGGGTGATTGAGTGCACCCTCAGCAAGTTCGCAGATGACACCAAGCTGAGCGGCGTGGTTGACATGCCTTAGAGACAGAATATCATCCAGAGGTACCTGGACAAACTCGAGAAGGGGGCCCATGTGAACCTCATGAAGTTCAACAACGCAAAGTGAAGGGTCCTGCACATGGGACAGGGCAACACTTAGAATCAACACAGGATAGGGGATAAAGGGATTAAGAGCAGCTCTGTGGGGAAGGACTTTCAGGTACTGGTGGATGAAAAGCTGGACACAAGTCAGCAATGTGCACTCACAGCCCAAAAAGCGAACCGTATTCTGCATCAAAAGAAGCATGGCCAAAATGTTGAGGGAGGTGACTCTGCCCCTCTACTCTGCTCTTGTAAGACCTCACCTGGAGTGCTGTGATTCAGCTCTGGAGCCCTCAGCACAGGAAAGACATGGACTTGTTAGAGGAGGTCCGGAAGAGGACCACAAAAATGATCAGAGGGCTGGAGCGCTTCTCCTGTGAAGAAAGGCTGAGAGAGTTGGGGTTGTTCAGCCTGGAGAAGAGAAGCCTCCAGGGAGACCATATTGAGGCTTTTCAATAATTAAAGTGGGTTTACAAGGAAGATGGAGACAAACTTTTTAGTAGTAGCGCCTGTTGCGATAGGACAAGAGATAATGGTTTAAACTAAGAGTGTAGATTTAGGCTACCTATAAAGAAGAAATTTTTTACAATGAGGGTGATGAAAAACTAGAACAGGTTGCCTAGAGAGGTGGTAGATACCCCATTCCTGGAAACATTCAAGGTCAGGCTGGTCAGAGCTCTGAGCAACCTGATCTAGTTGATGATGTCTCTGCTCGTTGCAGAGGGCTTGGACTATATGATCTTTAAAGGTCCCTTCCAACCCAAACTATTCTATGATTCTATGTATCTATGAAATTTGCTGCTTTCCCCCTTCTCTATCAGTGTAATCCTGTGTCCTTCCTTAACAGGTACTGCTTTTGCCATTTAGACCTCCTCTCTATATCAATAATCTTTAATATTTTAGAGATTACTTCAAATAGTTCTATAAGTAATGTACATCATGTCCTTCTGTCTTTAACAGGTCTGGCTTAGCTATACATTAATTTGTTCTTTTCCTCATGTTTTCTGTTCTACTTCCGTGCTAAAATTAATTCCCTTTATTCCCAAAGAAAGAAGCCAAAGAGGCATCAAATATCTCAAATTCTCTCTCAGGGGACTGCAATAAATCTCTTCTTTTACTTCCTATGTTCAGAATCAGCCACTCCCCTCTATGTTTTGAGAGGAGATTCACAGTTTCATGAGATATTTTGAGTAGTTAATTATACCATGAACCACAGACTAGCTGACAGCTGCAATTGCTGATTATAAATTGACAGAAGAATGGTAGCACTTTTGGATACCTCTGCTTCATCTGCTGATTTTTTAACAGCAGATCTCACAAAAGCTAGTCTGTGGGCTCCATACCTATAACAGATGCAAACAGTTCTGGAGTGGAGCTCCCTGCTGCCATGAATGTGGCTCCAGCAACATCTTCACTCAAATGTAGCTTCTGGAAGAAAAGCATGGGTAATTTCAGCACTACTACTGTATTTACACTGTACAGTTCTACAGCTGCAAAGATAGAAGCTCTTCATTTTCTAGCCACAGTGCTGTTAAAGGATGAACAGTCACTAGGATAAGAAATCAGACACTGCCTTTTGAGAAGGCATATATACTTTGGGTGAGTAAAGTGTTTGTACCCTAGCTCAGTGAAGTGTAAGATAAAATTATGTAGATACTTATTATATTACATACTTATATATAACTGAATAGCAAATTGTGTAGCTGATTAGAGAAAAGCATCTCTGCAGATTCAAAAAGATTTTAAACATCTAAAATTGTTTTCATTAATTTAATTTTGGAACTCTAAACACAATCATTCAAGAATTAAGGGCAATTCTTGGGGCTTCTAAAATTTGAAAATATAAATCCGTAATAGAAAAATACCACCTCTGAATAAACACAACTGGCAGACCTGATTCTGGCTTCACTTTACAATTATGTTAATCAAAAACAAGTCTGCTGACACAGACAAAATGAGTCCAATTAGTCACAGAGAGGCCTGTGTACTGTAGATAGATCTATTTTTATGAAAGTGTCTCTAAAGCTCTAATAGAATATAGGTAACTTAAGAGTTATCAGACCAGCTGAAACATGTGTAGCTCCACAAGTGGGCTGCATCAATTTAATACTCTGAAGATCTTTCCTTTGAACTAGAAAGCAGGTTTTATGGAGGAGCTTTTTCCTCTTTGAGTCTGTAGACTCATCTTTAGTGACTTATTTTTCTTCCAAGTATAGAAAAGTGATTAGTGACAGAAGGACCAGTACAGAAATCAGATATTTTTCAGGCAGTATGCAACATTTTGAACTGATAAAAGTGGCATCCTACAGAACTTGACAAAACATAAACACCATCCCATACTGTACCATTTGAACTATTACCAGTTATACTGTTGCAGGAGTTCAAACATAAGTGTGATATCTGACTTCTTTTTAGCTGTTTTAATGTTCAGCAAAACATGAGACAAGTGGCAAAGATTGTATGAAGTATCAGTGACTATATAATTGGTACAACCCAACACGTACAACTTAAATATTGTGTATAAGGTGCATGCTGAAGACAGAACACCTGAAATGGGAAAGAAAATAACCCTATTGAGTATTTTACTATTATGGGCAGCCTCCCTTATTCTTCTATTTGTTTTTCTATTGATAAGCATAAGTACACAGCTCTAAGTAACACTAAGAGGAATTCAGTACTTATATCAATTGGAAAACAGACTTTTTAACCAGCTACAGGAGTTTTCAGAAAATGAGGAGGGGTTTTTTGTTGTTGTTAAAAAGCAAATGAGATGAGGTTTTCATTTTGCCCTCAATAAAGAATTAAAATCTGGTTTTGTATTTTGTATTAATTTTGTAGTTGTTCACCAAAGCCTTACCTAACACAACATTTACATGCCAAGTATAAATTCTACCCTGTTCCAATTGACTCATTTAATTAGAATCCTACGTGTAATTCTGCAAAGTCTTCTCAACAATTATATGAATTACTTTTTTTCATATAAAATATGTAATTTTATTCCATATCAAACCAACGTACATACTTTTCTCATGCATTGTCTCTTTTCTCACTTTTCTCCACTTTATGCTAAGACCATATACACTTGCTTTCTACTTGCTGATACAGTGACAGATATACAATGAAATTTGCAAAGCCAACACATTAATTTGGCTATGTATGATTTCACAAGTGACTTTTAAAACTAGGAGTACAGTAATAAACCCAATTTATCCATATGTCATATCCATCCTAGCTATATGCTTCAGGTATCCAAGAGTGGGTTTTCCCATCTGATCTCATTACATCTTTCACTTTTTCTCCTTGAGTGTGGCCAGGAGGACCAATGTTCCTAGACAACAGGTTTGTTTTTTGATAGAAAGTTCAAATCATTTGAAAAGGACTGAGGCCAAAAAGTTGACAGGAATGAACTCCAAACAATGACAGCACAAAATGTCTGAATCTATAATATTCTCTAAATAAATTTCCAAAAGAGAATAGAGTTCTTTAACATACCTCACAAATTTTCTCTAAGGATGGAACAAAGAAGTCATCACATACTATAGCCAAAGCATAGAACATATAGAGAGCCTGTAAAGAAAATAAATTCAGGAAATACTTCAGCTTAAAGAAGGCAATGCTATATTTATCCAGGCTAGTAGAAATACATAGTCTCATTTTTTATTCCATTAAAAAAAAAAAAATCCCTCTTCTGATCAATTCATGGCATACAAACAAATTCTTGAATGTAAGATTAAGTTTAGACCAAAAATGTTTGCCAGACCCTAGAATATGAGAGGTGCCACAGTTTGACAGAATAGGGTGCCACAACAGACTTCATATAAAGAAAAGTAATGGGTAAGGCTTACAAAGTTACATAGCCATCTATATTTCAATTAATTATCAGACCAAGTAATTAAATAGGAAGTAACATCATGTTGATTAACAATACTCAAGAAATAACCACACTTAAAAATAATCAGACACCAACCATGGCTCACTGCACCAAACCTCTCAGGAATGATCCTGGATCCTTGCATACATGTGATTCTCTCATTGCCTTATGTGGCTTTATGTGCTGGGCTCATACAGTAAGCCTCATCCTGCTGTTGTCCATCAAACAACTCCTTTTTACTTTACTTTCCCCAAGCTGGGAATGGAGCCCACAGGCCCTACTTAATTTTGTTTTTTCTACAATGAAATATAAAACTCTATATGACATTTTCGTATTTCTTCAGAGTTGTTTAGGGTTTTTTTAATTACAGTTGCATCTTTTGCAAAAAAGCACATTAGGAAAGAGAGAATCAAGAATCTTCCACATCATGTTTGATGTCATCAGCAAAGGAATCCCAAACTCTGCTTATACAAGATTACATACAAACAAATGCAAGTCTGTGATCCATGCAGACAGGATTTTATCTCCAAGAGGATGAATGCACAGGCACTGCAAATTCAGACTTGCATCATTTTCTTAAATAAATCATAGAATCATTTAGGTTGGAAAAGACCCTTAAGATCACTGAGCTGAACCATTAACGTAACCTACCAAGTCCACCACTAAACCATGTCCCTAAGATGTTACCTTTTGAGCATTTGTACCCATATAGAGAAATTAGAAATACTGAAATCACAGCAGTAGAAACATGTCGATACATACAGAGCACTACTTAGTAAGGCCGCTAAGATGATTAACATCTTATAGACAAATAAAAACAAAATTGAAGTACAGTAGGAGAAAAAACTTACAGCAATGATATGAAGCAGAATTCCTCCTTGCTGCCGTTCCTTATTTGTAAACACATCTTCAGGAAATTCATTAATGGCTGAAAGAGAAATATATATATATATTTTTTTTTTTAAAATTTCACATCTATAAAAGGAAGACTGAAAATTAAGGATGCATCCATAGAAATATATGACCAAATGTGAAAGCATCTTCCAATTTATTACACTACAGTTTGCCACCTCAGAATCTCTTTTCTGTTCTGTAGAAAAAGAGAGACCTGATACTTAGGTGTTATTAATTATCACCATTCCAGTGACTTAAACCAACCTCCACTGTACTAAGAGTTTCACATTCTTAATGCCTTATTTTTACTATCATCTCCTCTGTGTCTCCTCTAAATATAGTTTCAAAGTGATAGGCACAGGCACAAAAATTCATCCTGAAATTTAAGTGTGCCTTGCCTGAAAAAATATGCAATGGTTGTAACTTTCTATCAGGATCTTACCTACAAACTTTTACAGGGCTCCACAGTCTTGCAAAATCATTTCAGAAAGATTAAAGGGATTCCAAGTACTTTCTCCACAAAGTCTAAATCTGGCAAAGGAAGGAATGAAACAGAAATGGTAGATGTATGATAGGAATGTGCAAAGATATGAGTTTTGGGATTATTTCTGGGTGGCAGTGAAGTTGTTTGGAGATCAGTTAAAGGATCTAAATTCCACACAAAGGCAATGGAGTAAAAAAAAGATTCCAGATGGTGGAGACAAAGACAGCAACTAAATCAAAAACCTGAAGAAATATATGAGATAAAACACATCCAGACTGACAAGTCAGGGATACAGATCTATCTCAGATCAGACAGGAGGCACTGTATTTCAGCCACTGGAATCCAAAAGCACTTAAGTTAATAAATTATTATTCAGAAAGAGGTGTTCCTGACTGCAAGGAGTTGTAGGTGTAGGTTGACAATAAGATAAGCTCCAGAAGTTTCTTACGAACTTACCATAATATATTGAATATCAGGGAAGGAAACAGAGGGAATATATGATCATCTTCCCCATATTCAAGACTGCCAGTTTAACGAAATACTTAAAGAGCACAATATATTATATTTCTGGTGTTCCATTTTCAATTTCAATGGTATATTTTCTCAATTTCTCAATATAATTCTGCAAACAGTAACCATGAACATAGAAACTAAGAATTTGAGGTATGGTTGATGTTTTTAGCTACTAAAATTCAAATACCCTAACCCAGCCTTATTTTCAGAAAATGTTGCACTGCAACTCCTTGAAGATTACACTTTCTAGAGTATCTTAAATTTGAGTTACCTGTAGTCACCAAACACAGTTGAAAATCTTAGCTGCAGTGAGAGGATAATCTAGTTTCAAAGACCTTAAGACTTCTCATCTCCTCAATCTCTGACTTATATATATAAAAATGCCTCTTTGCATCTGTACTACACACACCTACATAATTTGCATATGTCTAGCTTGACAAAGACTTGACAAAGAGTGTCTCTATGCAAAGCTGAAGATCCTATGCCTCTGTCTTTTCCTTAGACTGCCATAAAAGTATTATTTTTGAATTAATACACTGGCAGCAGGCAGTGATTAAAACTTTATATACATAAATCATACCTACCTTCCTTCCAAAGTCAAAGTTACCATTTTATGAAATCTCTCTAAATCCTCCAACCTACTATTTGAAAGTCACTGTAGTTTTGTTTAAAACTACTGACGGTCTATAAAATATTTAGCATAAAATAAAAATTCATCAATAATGACTGACTGCAATTCCTTTATTGATTTTCATTAGGCTTTTCAATAAGACCTATTCTTACTCTTGTATTCTGACTGGAACCAGTATCAGCACTTGACATGTTGAATAGTGCTTTCCCAAGATATAGGTACATCTTTTTTTTAAATCTCAAGACAACAAAACCAATATAAATCTATACTAAATTTTGCTTAGGTGCTCTTGAATGTGATTTCCTATTCCTATGTAAATGTTCTATTCCTAGTCCTTCTTCTGTAATCACCAGGAAAAATAAAAGCAATAGAGGATATAAATATAAAATGCATCAGCACAATAATACCCAATCACTCATTGAACTATGGAATACCATTCAAGGGTATGCAGAGTACTTCAGTGCCTAAATACCATCAGCACACCAGTGTTTAGCAGGACCAGATTCACTACAGTGGTCTGGGTTGCCATAGAACTCCATAGTCTTCAAGGGCCACGATATGTACCATAAAGAGGTCTGTGACCAAATGAAACAGTCTGAGGACATAGCATTGCTATACAAATGCAAACCACACTGTAAATAAAAAACATCTGCCTGTTGAGCCAAACAAATTCAAGTACTTCTAAAGTCAAAATATGTTAATAAAACATCTTCCTTTCTATTTGGTTTTCATCACTGTTACCCTCAAACAAGGAAAAGGATAGAGGAAATGTACATAAACTGAGAAAACTGGTTGCATTGTAGTTTTGAGACTGTGTAATTCAGTTGCCTGACACTCTCTCTTACTGAAAGACACTGAAGGCTAGTCCACAAACTATTGATCAAGATGCATCAATCTGCAAGGCTTTTATCTACAGATAAACCTTTTGAGATGCCAAAAGAACCTTACATGCATGTAACAGTCAAGCTTGTTCTCTATAGTAATACACTGCTATATACAGTAATATGTAATATAATAAAATACAGTAATATTGTATCCCCCCCATGTAGCAATCAGGGAGGAATACCATTCTAGAATAATACTGGAATATCATAAAATGTAAGAATTTCTTGTCAGCTACACTAGCTGCCAAAAGCAAAATTTCTCAGAGGAGTTATTCGCTACCACATGAAATGAAGTATGGCAAAAAATTAATCAGAACTCAAAGCATGTGGTTTTAAATAAATTCTTCCCATTAACATTTAATATTAACTAAAATTACTAATAACTAAAAAAGCATCAAGGAGACTTCTCCTTTTGGACCCAGAGGTACAGCTGCTGGCATCTTACACAGTATGGTAGTTCTTGCATCACTGGCTAAAATACCATGCCCACATGGATGTATTCAGGACCTGCATACTATTTGTCTGACTGCATTCGTCCTTTACCTCCTCCACTCAAACCGTGGCTGTGAGAATACTCACATTCTAGCAACGCACTAGGACAGCAGAGACCAGAGACCTGGCCTGAGTCTCTAGCAATGACAATGTGGCCCTGCACATCATGTGCATCCTTTCACATAATCTGACACAAAGGTTTGCAGCTCCCTTCACAGGTGCTTGTGTGAGGAACACCATCCCCCCTTACCGTCACCATAGAGCAGAGAGAATATTTCCCTATCCCACAACCTGACAAAATGGATGTGTCATCTGGGAAGCTATTACCTACCTGGTAATCTCATTGAGTTGACTGTAAAATATTTCACAGTATAACATTAAAAATGGTTATGTCAGTATAAACTGAAGTTCCAAGAAGCATGAATAAAAATAACTATCTTTCTAATGTGACTTTACTTATTTAAAGTTAATACTAAATAGGAAATCAGAAGACCAGAAGATATCAAAGGTAAGAGCCAGAAGACAGAAATGAGCCCAGGCATCTGATCACCAAGCAAAAGTAAATCAGCTTCACTGCAAACCATCCTGCTTCATATATAGTCTGATGATGTAGTATTTGTAACAAATAACTACTTATAATAAATATCTGCTTGCCTCACAGAGGTAATTTTAAATTAATTAATATGAAGACAGCCTTTCTCAAAGATAATGCTTCTCTCAGAACTCATGGCATGCAATTGTTCTCACACAGAGACACTACAAAATCTTTAAAAGCCAAGGAAATGAAGCAAGGCTCTGGAGCTTGGTAAGCAAGATTTCTTCCCTAATGAAAAGGCCACCTGCTGCAGAGTTCCAAGGTGAAGTTTGTAGTTTTTCAGTGTAAGCATTTGCTGTCTTTATGGCTTTATTATCTAGATTATCATAAGTTTTGTATAATTGTAATCTATAAATTCTGTATACCTTATCTACATGCACTCTTCTTTATTTACTCACCATATCATGGCTTTAATATTTTAAACAAAGGTTGGTTTTCCTTACCTACTGCTATGATAACCTCGTTGCTCAGGAAAAGGCTGTTTGGATTCCCTTGGCTCCTAGCTTAGGCCTGGGAATTAACATCACTTAACTGAGGGGGGCAGTGGTATTCTCTCATCTGTATGAGCTGACAGAGGGGATGTGACATTGTCATGGAGTGTGAGAGAGCACTGTCTGACCTCAGGGTACGATCTGATGTGTATGCGCAGTAGGGCACCGGTCTACTTCACACAGAGATATTTTCTCATATGTTGGAGACAGAGCTATCTGGCAGCCTGAGTGGGAGCTACATCTCCACAGTTTTCTACTGAAAAGAGACAGAACAGATGGGAGAAAGAGATGAAATGAAGAGCAGTACATCTAATGGGGCTAACCTTTGCCAAAAAAAAAAAAAAAAAAAAGAG